AAAAAAAGCAGATATCTATAGGTTAAAAAAAAAATTTAAGAAATAATACATCGTTTTGTTTGATTTGATTGTATTTTTCTTTTTCAACTTACCATAGCAACATCACCAACACATTGTAAGTATTTATTCCATACAATTTGAACACATTCTCGAGCTTCGTCATCTTCTTGTAAAAATGATAAACAGTATGATATAAAATCATTTTTAATTCGATTATTTAATTCAGCTATTTGATTTGAATGATCATCGACTTCATCATCAACATCATCATTTATATTATTTGTTGCTGATAAATTTTTTGTATTTAATGATTTTAATCGTGTAGATGAATCATTTAATCCATTTGGTTTTTGTTCAATCTTTTCTTCCATATTTGTCGATCTAGAATATATTCATAAAATATAAATCGAATTTGATATTTATGGTCGATTGATTAAAAAAAAACAATCTGAAATGATAGTAGCAAAAACTAATAAATAACGAACATCCTTTGTTACTTTATTTTATGTAGGATGCCTAAAAAATAATTGTAAATGTATGTTCTTATTCGAACGTCACACATGTGTTTTGAATACAAAATTTTAATATAAATATAATCAATGCCAATCATACAGATTACATCATAACTGTTCGATCTCGTCTTTTTTTTTCTTCTTTTCAGCAGGTAAAAAAGGGTGAGGACGTGGCAGTTGAAAGAAAAAAAAATAAGGGCAACAAACGCATGGTTTGTTTGCCTTTCCTTTTCGTGATTGGAAGAATAAAAAAAAAATATAATAAAATTTGAGTCGGGTGTATGTTTTACATCAATGGAACAATCTTAATGTCTCGTTCATAAAGCAGAACAAAATTAATTTAATGTATAGTTTGCAAACACATATTCATACATTATTGCGCAGATCGAGTGAGAAACATAACATTATTCATACTATTAATTAAAAAAACATTAAAAAAATGATTGTATTAAGTCAAGGGAAAAAAAGAATATTGTTTTATTATTCTTCTTTTTATTGAATACTTTCTAAAATTAAACAAAAAAAAATGTTTATTAAATGTTTGAATCTATTCCTTAATATAACTTCTACTTATATCAAATCAGAAGCTAGGTTGTCAATAAGAAATACTTATTGGAGTAATTTTTCTTTTCAACTAGCTCGGTATATCTGTCATTTTTCATATTCATATTAAGTAAAAGATGTTCCTCCATCAAGAAAATAAAGTTGTTAATATAGATCAATTATTATTATTATTATTATTATTATTATTGGAAGAACAATCAAGAATATATAACAAAATGTCATTTAATATTCATGATCAAATACGAGACAGATCCTTGAATTTACTGAGGACAGAATGAAGTTTGAAAAAATTCTCAAATTAACGCCATCGATCTGCTTGAAAAGATATAAGTACTAAAATTAAAAGAGTAAAGTTTTACTGTCTAATACTAAAAGTTTTGATCATAGAAGATTTCTTAATTGACAAAATGATTAGTAATTAACGAAATAATAAAAAGAACATATATATATATATTTATTGATTAACTTAATTCGTAGAAAACTAAATTGGAAGCAAATCGAGAAGAAAAAAATTGAAGTACACTTCTCAATAGAACTTAAGAGACATAAGTATTCATTGATGTGCACAAAATCCTTCGCTACGAGTGTGAACTTCTAACAAGCGCCGGAAGCATAGTTTGGTGACTTGTAGCATATGAACAACTCATCTGAAAATAAGTGAATAAAATTATTTGTTAATGATTAAAAAAAGTGTCGAAGAAGAATC